TTGAAGAGCAGGAACTGGAGATGTTCGAAAAGCACCACTACATATCCTAAGCGCTTTGGCTTGGATTCTATCTAAATCTAACAACAAAGAATTTGCAGCTGATTTATAAACAATGCATCCATAGTCCAACACAGATCGAATTAAAACATCATATATTCTTTTCAAGGATGAGCTAGTTGTCCCCCAGTCATTCCCTGACAAACATTTCAATATATTAATACCTTTTTTACATTTATCAATAATCTTCTGCATATGTATCTTAAATGAAAGTTTTTCATCAAACCATACACCAAGGTACCTTATCATATTTACCTGTTTCAATTCATGCCCATATAATCTAAGATCTACTGTTGGATTATCCCTTTTCCTTGAAAAACATAATACTTGTGTCTTCTCAACAGACAAACGAAACCCCCATTCGTGTGACCATCTTTCTACCGTTTTAATTGCTGATTGCATTCTATTTTTTAAATAACTAAGATTTCCTCCTCTCACCCATAATGCCCCATCATCTGCATATAATGCTTTATTAATTCTAAAATCTATATTATCAAAAATATCATTAATCATTATATTAAAAAGCACTGGACTACATACACTACCTTGTGGAGTTCCATTTTGTATATCATAAATGTTTGAATAATTTACCCCAACTCTTACTTCTATTTTTCTATTCTTTAAAAAATCCTTAATCCAATTAAACATTTTTCCTTTGATTCCCATTTTATTCATCTTAATTAATAAACCCTCCTTCCAAAGCATATCATATGCTTTTTCAATATCAAAAAATGTAGCCAAGAGAATTTCTTTATTTACCTGAGCCTTTCTTATTTCATTTTCTAAACAAGCAATTGGATCTACTGTTGTCCGTCCACTTCTAAAACCACTCTGATAAGGGGATAAAAGATCTCTTTTTTCTATTTCATACATTAATCTCCTAGTTATCATTCTCTCCATCAATTTACATAAATTAGAAGTAAGAGCTATAGGCCTATAACTTTTAACCTCTCCTTTATCCTTACCTGGCTTTAATATTGGTACAATGATTGAATGCTTCCAGCTTAAGGGCAATTCACCTTGTTTCCATACTTTATTGTATAACTTTAAAATTATTCCTTTAGCATCATCTGATAAATGTTCAATCATCCTATAACATATGCCATCTTTACCTGGAGATGTATTTTTAACTCCTATCAATGCTCTATTCATTTCAAACAATGTAAATTCTTTATCTAAAATACTTCCATCAATCTCTTTTCTATTTAAAATTTCTCTATTATCTTCAATCATTTCCAATCTCCATGATAATTCTTCATTTGATAAATTTTTTGAACTATGCACCTTCACAAAGGACCTTGCAAACATCTCTGCTTTTTCCTTGTTTGTTATAGCTTCACACTGATCATCTTTAATTATAGGTAAAGAAAAATCCCTTCTAATTCCTCCCATCTTTCTAATCATTCCCCAGATCTCATTTATTTTAACGTCCATTCCAATTGTACTACAAAAACTTCTCCAATAATTCTTTTTTGATAGTTTAACTGTTCTCCTAACTTTAGATTGTGCTTTTTTGTATAATATTAAATTATCAAATTAATGATTTATTTTTAACTTTTTAAATGCTTTATTCCTAACTTTAATAGCTTCTTTACATTCATTGTTCCACCAAGGAACCATTTTCTTTTTCTTCAATCCAGTAGATTTGCAAATGGCCTTTTCTGCAGATTCGTATATTATATTTGTAATCATTGAATTTAATTCTTCAATATTATTGCTTAAATTTGGCATAATCTCCATAAACATGTCACTTGCTATCTTTTTGTACATTTCCCAATTAGCTTCCCTCATTCTACATTTAGGATACCAATTTTCTTCAACTGCTACTTTAAAATTATTCAATTTAAGCAGAATAGGATAATGATCACTTCCAAGGGAGTTATCATTCATTACTTCCCATTGACTTATTCCTGCTATCTGATCTGAGACTATAGTAAGATCAATTGCAGATTCTAATCCATGCCCTACATCAAATCTAGTACCTCTTCCATCATTTAGACAAGTTAAGTTATAATCATCCATAAATTCCTCAATTATGTTTCCATTTTCATCATTCCTTTTACTTCCCCATAAGGTATTATGAGCATTAAAATCTCCACATAAAATATTTTTAACATTTTCCTTCACATAAATACTATCCAGTATTTCTCTACTTATTTTTTTACATGGATTATAATAATTTATTATATTAAATTTTGATTTACTAATCCATACCTCAATCCCTATTACTTCTATTTCTTCATTTATATTTAAAACTTTATAATTAATTCCCTGCTGAACAAATATGGCAACACCTCCTCCTACATTTGGGTTTCTATCTTTACGTAGTTCAATATATCCACTAAGAATAAAATCAAGTGATGGTTTTAACCAGGTTTCTTGAATACATACTATATTTGGTCTAACATTCTGTCTTTCAATAAAATATTTTAATTCTTGGCCATTAGCAATTAAGCTTCTTGCATTCCACTGTAATATGGATAAGACCATCAATTGTCACCACTCCTGGACTGTTGACTTTCATTAATCCCTGTTAAAACTGCACTGATTGACTCAAAAGACAGGTCTTCCATCTCAAGGTATTTTTCTGCTGCTTTGATTATTATTTTAATTCGCTCTGTTCTACTATCTGTCTGAGCTGAACAATTTATTACTTCCACAATAAATGCAACAAATTTATTTTTATCCACAATCATTGTATTTCCTGAGGTATTCAGGCTCTGGGTTTGCTCTGTTTTTTGAGGTGGAGTGTGAGGCACAGAAATACTTTTAGCATTAACATTTGAGTTACTTACCTTTTTAACTGCATCTGCATAGGTAACTTTTTCTTTGACACGTATATTTTGTACCTGTACTGCTCTTTTATGAGCTTCACATCCTTTAAATGCAGCACTGTGTTCCCCACCACAGTTACAGCACCTTAACTTAGTTCCTTCAGAACATTTCCCATATTCATGCTCCCCTCCACACTTGGAACACCTGGCCTTAGCTCTGCAAGCAGCAGCAATATGTCCGAACCTCTGACATTTGTAACACCTGGTTGGTGGAGGAATGTATTGCCTAACTGTATAGCTGACAAACCCAATCATCATTTTTTCAGGTAATCTATCTTCTTCTAGTACTAACATAACTGATTTACTAGGACTTTTAACTCCTTCTCTTGTAGCAAACAGACGTTTCACTTTAATCACTCGAGCTCCTTTTATATTACCTTTAATCTCTTCCTCCGTCAAATCAGTTGATACTCCATATATTACTCCCATTACTTTTCCTCTTTCCTGCCATATTTGCGGCTTGATTGTTTTTCCCAACAACGTCTTGCTTCTCATTAGTCCCTGCACCTGATCTCTATCTCTGCATAATACCAATAGATTGCCATCTCTTAGCGTTTTGACTGTATTCACTTCACCTACTATTTTATATATTGCCTCACTTATCTTTAACGGATTCAATGCACATGGGTTCTGGAATCTAAGAATCACTTTCATTTCATTTCTTGTATTTTCCTCTCTTTTTTCTTCATCAGATTCAAAGCCTTTCCTTTTCTTATTTCCTCGACTCACTGTTTGCCAGTTTCCTGTTTTACCACTTCTATTACAATAATCACTACTCAAACTACAATTATCCGAGTCATCTAATTCTTCGCATTCTTCCATCTTACTTCCTTATTTAAAGTTATCTACAACTAACTCCAAATTACACCTCCGTCACTTTAACTTCAACAAAACAAATTTTTGCTCCCCCAGACCAGAGGACTGTCGCTGGGTGAAGCTAAAAACCACCGCGAGTAGAACGACTTGTGCGCCCTTGTGTTGGTCTTCTTTCCCTAGCTCCTTCATAGACTGCTCTCCACTCACACCTGCTCCTTATCAGCTCGTTAGCCTTGCCTTTGTTCAGTCAGACAATATATACTTTCCCTCTGCTGTCACTCTTTGCTGGTTTCTCATTACTGTTGCTGGTTGTTTCCCCCTGATGTCTCCATTGTTCTGGTTTGTTTTACATTTTAAGTTGGATTTTTGGGTTCCTGCCTTTGTTTACTGTTTTCACCACTTACAACTGTAAGAAATCACCTCAGCCTCTCTGCCTCTGCATTTGGGTCCTCAAACCACAACCAAATCCTGACATTCACAGTTCTTTTACTTTTAAATCAGATTATTGGCACTGTGGTAAGCCAAGGTGGTACACTCTAAAAAGAAAATGGCACCTCAAATTAACTGCTTTAATTGGAAAAAGTAATTCAATTAAGTCTAATGTATTTAATTTTTCTTATATTCTTAAATTAAGCTGTATCAACTTGAGTCAATTATTGTTACCAATTGATTCAATTAATTTAAGTTGGGGTAGCATTTTCCTGTTAGAGAGTAAGTGCAAGTTTTAACTACCAGGAAAATAGTTGAAAAGTATTGTAGGCAATTTGTTTTGTTATTTAGACATCCTTTATGTACAATAGGGGTTTGCTGGTGCAACTTTTTCCATTTCCAATATGATATGGATATTGCACCTTTGAGAATTGGCCAACAATGATACTGACCCGATACTACATCAGCCTGGATCGTACCAGCTTCTATTAGTTATTTATAGTGTAGAATTTTGTAAAAGGCTTTATCAAGCAATATTACTAAAACAAGGTCAACAACAAAAGGTATGAAAATTGTTCCATGTAAAATTTACCAATGAGTTACAGAAACCTTTAACAGAAGCAGAGTGCTTTGACAAACTTCACTGTATAATTATGATTCATACAGAAAATACCCAGTTTCAATATTTTAATGTAATTTAACCTTAGAAAAAGAGTTAGTATATTCAGCATAACATTAAGTGCGTCTAAATCTGACCATAACTGTACGTATCTATATTTGTTTTTACATACAATCCACATTTTGTTCTCTGATTGTTCATAACCAGTTAATTTGTATTGTCTTTTATTTCATGCTGACATGAAGGTGGACTCCTTGAGAAGACCGGCTAATGTGACATCAGCCAAACCTCATTAGTTCATCAAGAACCTGTATTTTCTCCTGGAGAGCAAAGGTCCATCTCCCTGACCAAAACGTCAGATTTGTTAAAAGAAAACACAAAATTCACAAAGGGCTTTGTGTGGAATCTCAGCATGCTGCCAACAGGTCTGTAAGGCACAGTTGGGGAAGAAGCTTCTTGGCCCAATGTTGATTTTATTTATTGTGCAATGAGAACCGAAAACTTTCTTATCTTGAATTAATATCCTTTTGATTGTGTTTTTTTTCTCTCTCTCTTGTGTCTTTCCAGGACAGAGCATGTCACCTGGAACTTCTCATAAAATCCTTCGACCTCTTTTGTTCTCTATTTTCATTCTCGGATGTTTTGTGACTGCATTTTTGATGTATTTCAAGCCATCCACTAGCTGGTTAAATGGTCCATTAGAGTCATCTGATTCCGCAAACCATATAAAGCATGTTTTTGCAAAGAGTGACAAAAATGTGACCACTGTTCTAGTTTGGCTTTGGCCCTTTGGACAAACCTATGAAATGAACATCTGCAGCTCTGACTTTAACATTGAGGGCTGCTTTATTACCGCTGACAAAAACTTCTACAATAAATCGGATGGGGTTGTCATCCATCATCGAGACATTGCTGGGGACCTGTCCAATCTGCCGACATCACAGAGGCCGCCCTTCCAGAAATGGATTTGGATGAACTTGGAGTCTCCATCCCATTCAGCCCAGCTGCCTGGGATTAACAACTTGTTCAACCTGACTCTCAATTATCGTCAAGATTCTGACATCCAAGTGCCTTATGGAACTATTGTAGCAGCAGAGACTGTGGAGGACTTTGTACCACCAAGCAAAGACAAACTGGTTTGCTGGATTGTGAGTAACTGGAATCCAGAACATGTGCGGGTAAAATATTACAATGAGTTGTACAAACACATCGAGGTTCATGCATATGGACATGCATTTGGGGAATACATCGCTGACAAAGATTACATTCCTACTATGTCTAGCTGTAAGTTCTATTTGTCCTTTGAGAACTCAATCCATAAGGACTACATCACTGAGAAACTCTACATCCCACTCTCTGTGGGCACAGTACCAGTGGTCCTTGGTACAACTAGGCAGAACTATGAGAACTTTGTTCAAGGAGACGCATTTATCCATGTGGATGACTTTAACTCACCGAAAGAGCTGGCGGATTACCTGCTTCTCCTGGACAAAAATGAGGAATTGTATCTTGGGTACTTTAAATGGAGACGGCAATTTAAAGTAAACAGAGCCAATTTCTGGGCAGAGCACACATGCCAGGCTTGTGATTACCTGAGACGGCATAAAGAATACAGGGCATTCAATAACCTTAACAAATGGTACTGGGGCTGATGGTGCTGAATGGACAATGCAGCACAGATCCACTCTATATAAAGTTGAACTCAGCACACTGAATAAATGGCTACTCATTGAGACAAACGTTACAGTGGACATTTTTGATGTAATATTCAAAGCATTGCAGAAAATCCATCTCATTTGTGATAGTGAAGAAGTCACCTATGCAGAGCACTGAAGTCAAATATAAAGAGTAGTTAAACACTGTCTTGCAGAATTTTTTAAAATTTGTTGCTGTCTTTAAACATATTTTTGTAAATTTACATTTGCACTGCAAATTCAAAAATATGCTTCTGAACATTTTGTAGGGAAATATTGATAATTTTAGAAGTAAGGCTTTGATTATAAAACCTGTTACCTAGAATTTTCCTGTGCAGTCTTAACAACTGGAATTTAATTTCAGAATTGTCCCAGTCCTGATATATATAATGAAGAAAAGAGTAAGGGAAATATCCCTCCCTTCTGTCATTTTCTAGTCTTTATTACTGTTCTTTATAAGAGTAATTCAGAGCAGGTGCATCACAATCCATATTTATGTGTGTGAATGTTTGTGTATAGATATAGATATATCTATAGATATAGATATTTTTTATTATGAATTGGGCATAGAAAGGCTGGATGGTTTGCCTCTTGTAATGAGATCTGTTATGCACCGTGATGCACCTGCTCTGTACTCAAAGAGCAGGTTGGTCAAAGCACTTCATATTGGTGATCTTTCTATTAAAAACAATATAAAGATAAAAATCAAGACATAACTGAGTGATCATATATCTGTATTCCTCACTTGTCGCAAAATATTACCTCAAATATTTATCCAGTTTTCAGGATAAATACAGATTTTGGATTAATGGCAAAACCGGGCAGATATATTTGCCATTCTATTTTTATTTTTTATTTTCTCTGAAGTAGCGCATATATGTAGAGCATCACCCAGAGTTGAACTGATAAGGTGTTTGAAGATGTTTGCAGCACTATTCAACAATTAAAATCATAGTAGTGGAATTGCATTACTTCATACATGAAAAGCTGTAAAATTGGGTTTTATCGACACTCATCTCAATATGAACATCATCATTTTGCACATAAGTTTTCTTTTTAAACAACATTCTGAGCAAAACCTTAACATTTTATGCAAGATAAACTGGCAGCTCTTTGGGGTCAAAGCCTGAAAAATATTTTCGGTCAGAACTGATACTTCTTCACTGTCATAAGGGCAAAGTGAAAAGCATGATGAGCTCACTTTTCTACTACAATCACGGCCCTTGAATCCATTTTGAAACATGTGCATAACTGTAATAAACTTAGGCTTCAGCTTAATCAATCCAGGCTGTTTTGTGAGATAATTGATCGTATGAAGTTCCAACTGCTTTAATGAAAGAAAAGTAGAGTGTGTTGTATATATTTTTAAAGATAAGATGTCTTTATAACAGTGGTTTGACGGTGAATATCATTCTGCTCTAACTTCAGGGGTAGATGTTTTGAGGAGCTGAGATACTTTAAATTTAAGTAAAAAGGGAGAAACAGTTGAAGTGAAAAAGATCAGAAACAGCGCTTGTAGTGCCAGGTGATGTGGGCATGTATTATTTTTACATTCAAACGTTTTTGTATCAGGTGGAAATCCTGCTGGTATGACCTTACTCAGAAAGGTGTGCCAAAATGCAGCACAGAAATAGCACTTTTTATTTATGTGAAGTTGTGTAACTCACTGTGGTTATGGGTTGTCTTAAATGGAGCTTTTTTTATTTCAAGATTAAGTTCTTGGTCTTCACTAAAGAACATTTTGTTTACAGTTTCATAATGTATAGTTCTTTCTCCTCTATGAAAATAGAGCTTTGTTGTTCAGAGTGGTTGACAATTTTGAAGAAAAGGAGTTTGTGTCGTGAATGTTGTCTGTCTCACTTTTTCTCTTCTTCTCAGACCAGGTATATGCTCTGTCTTTATAGCATTGGAAGCTACAGCAGGATTTATGTGGTTATTTTAAAGGCACAGAATTGGTGGGTCGAAAAACTGTATTGTACATTGAATGGGATTAAGTCTATGTGTGTGATTTCTCCTTAAAAAAAAATCGAATTATGCCTATTTTTAAGACATTCAGCTAGTTGGAACAAGGTATTTGCCAAACCATTGTATTTGCCAAATGTGTTCTAACTGTAGATGTCTAATAGTATAATGGAGAGAATAAACATATGGGTAAAATTTGAATTGCGTCGCCTGAGATTATTTTAGAACAAGCACATATTCGAGCATGTGCATCTGATGATCATGCCTTGTGTATGTACCTGAAACATCTTTCCTCCATTGCTGCTCTAGGTTGGAGGCCATGTAGCATTTATTCCCCTCTAATGACTTAGACAAATTTTATTGTAATTTTGTATGCACAGAGTGCACAAAAATACTAAATTTTGTTGCATACAGCTCACAACAATGTAATGAGATTGAAAGTGAAAAAACAACATTACAATATAAAATAAGTGTGCAGAATAACGAATGTTAGCAGTGCAAAATAATACTGGTGCAAACTGGCAGTAAAGTTCAGTTCTGTTTATATGGGATGCAGAGTCCAGTTCTAATTGCTACATTAAAATACAAGAAGATAAAAGCATAAAAAAAGCAAATAAAGATAACTTGATAATACGATCCTGATTGTCTTACACACACAAGCACATCTTTTGCCTCAAAGATTGAACTCTTTGTTCTGAATGCCAAGTTTGTATGGAGGACACCATGGACTGCTTTTTACTAGGTGCACGTTATACCTACATGGTACATCATGCAATTGGGATTTTGTTCAGCCACAGCAACTGGAAAACCAGGCAGGATAGAGGGAAAGATAAATGCTATGGTAAAAGCCTGTGGGTAAATTGTGGGTAAAAGCCTTCTGTAGAGAATTCTTAACTTTAGATGGGGGCAGTTCCCCAAGTGCACCTCAAAGATCCCAAACAAGTGGTTTCAGAATGTCCTGGAATGGCTAGGCCAGCAGAGTCCAGACTTGAATCAGTTTGATCCTCTCTGGAAAGATCTGAAAATGGCTGTGCATCTCTAAACCAACCTGTTGAAGCAAGGAATATACAGCAAAGGTGATTGGGCCAAGCTGCCAAAAAAAGCTTTAATTGATCCACCTTGAAGCTGTGATTGCTGCCAAAGGTAGAGCAAGTAAGTATCAAGCAAAGGCTGTAACACACTGTAAAAGTGGATTCTTAGTCTTCTATGTTTAAGAATTTAACAACAATCTCAAACAAGTGTTTTTACATTGAATTAATGATGTATTTGCTGAGATCAAATCCAGTGGCTGTGTCCTCCAAAGGCCAGATTAGTCAGCTGATTATGTCATAGCGCAGCACCTTGGCCTGTTTAGATAGTAAGGCTCCTCCTTATGGGGCTGACAAAGGCAGCCTTCTTCTGCCGGTTTGGAAGGACAGGCCAATGTATCCTCTGTGGCCTAGGATATCCTGTATTTGTTGGGAGTCCAAACAAGCCAGCTGCTCCATGCTCAAAGGTAAAAGTGAAATGGCGAGGAACAGTGGTGAATATTGTAGAGGCAGGATATAATACAACTATGTAAATAATTTCATCTTACATTAATGGTAATAGTCTAATTTAAATGGTTAATAAGTCAGATAAAATTGTTATTTTAAATGGCTTATTGAGTCGTATGTCACAGGTAATTTTTGTTCTTTTTAAAGTTTTTATCTATCCCTATACAAAAAGGTTTAGATAACATTTAAGCACAGAATCTAATATCTGATACGTGCATTGACAGTACTGTTGCTCATTCTCCTAAAAAATGAAATAAGCACACAGAACAGTAGTAAGTAGTTCAATTCTTTAGCCTAACTCTTCCAGCCTCGTTACTTTTATGGACCCAGTCCAGGTAGATCAGGTCCTTCGGAGGATGCAGCCGCTGAAATAGTACACAGCAGTTAAGTGTAAACTGTTTAGGGTAAATAGGTTCATGTAATTGGAATAATTCTCTATCATACTGTAAATAAATTATGTGATATGGATATTTTCTAGATGCTCTGTAATAAAAGTCTCTTTCTCATTATTCTAGCTTTTTGGAAATACAGTAACTTTAGTAATCCTTAATGACCTAAACGGCAAAATTTCAGAGAAACACATAAGGCTTATTGTTTGCTTTTTGTTTTTTTTTTATAGCGTCTTTGACCATTTTATGCTCGCTATATATGTCAAATTATCTATATTTATGTACATATACACTGCTCAAAAACAATAAAGGGAACACGAAAAAGCACCATATAACCTCAATTAAATCAAACTTCTGTGAAATCAAAACTGTCCACTTAGGAAGCGATACTGATTGACAACCAATTACACATGCTATTGTTACGGGTCCGCTCTAGAGGGGGGCAGACCTGCAGCAGAAGTACTCTCTCTGAATAAACAGGGGGAATGATGAGACGAGAAGCAGTGTGTTCTGGTTTGATGCAGCCTTGCTTTATAGTGTCTTTATTTACAAGCTTTCTTTTTGTTAACTACCTGAGTATCAACTGAACTAATATCCACTTTTACTATTTATTGGTCTTCTAATCAAACCTTTTTTTTTCCCATACAATCTTACATGTGCAAAACAAAGTTTCAATATAATTACCTTTTTACGGCTACAAGAAGTATTTAACCTTAAAATAATGTCTGGGATCCTATTCCTACTACTATCAGAGGAATGTTGGAGCGCCGCCATTACACAGCCTCGTGTCGTTCCCATAACAAAAGCACGATCTGCTGATAATGTTCATTTTTCTAAAACCATCCAAAATCTGACTATAAAGCACCAAAATATTGCTTTAATAATAGGCCTTCCCCTGGTCTTAAAGAACCAACAGTATCCCCCCAGTGTGTCAATAAGATCCTAAATGCGAGGGAGGGACATCTGTCTGGCACTGTCCTCTAGTTTAGGAGCCTAGTCTTTCTCCCGCACACAAACCATGGGAGCTGCATATGGGGATTGAGACTTGACTATCCACTTTTTGGCCAGAAGGTTTTGAATATACTCTTTATCTTCCCTGTAGAGTGGCTTGGGAATAGCGGAGTATGTTCATTATACTGAGATGTCCTCTTTTAATGTAATGTTAATCTGAAGACTGGGGATCCATCCTATGTAATCCTCATTATGGGAGAATGCATTTGACTCTTCATACAACATCTGTCTTACAACAGACTGCTTTTCATCACTTAAATGACTCACATCAATTTGGTGGGTTGCACAGCTGGGATGTGGACTCACTAAGTGTTTGTTCTGCTTCAATTTAATCAGTTGTTAGGGTCATTTGTTGTTGGAGTGGCTGTCTCTATTGTTTTGTTAATAGACTAGATACTCTCAAATATTGTCAAACGTCCTAAAGTTATATAAGTCGCTGTGTGATTACCTATATATGGTCGTTTGCCTTTATGATCTTTAACTAGTCCATCATAAATGTCAAGCAGCTGTAATTTAGTATTAGGGTCAGAGACTTCAAACAGAGCAACTGGGGAACTGAAGTTAGTTGAAAGTTGGTATCTCAGGTGAGTGACCTGTCCAGGATGTATAACAGCACCCTGCAATCCAGCTTTAACTAGTGCCTGTTCACATCTGGCTTTCTGAGTCTGGATAGTCCACAGCAGTCTCAGCCTGTTCAGCTTGGATCTGCATGGCGTCTCTAAACAGTTTGGAGATGACTTTTGATTTGGGAGTTGAATTTACCAGGAACATGCTACATTTTGTGGACTTATTGGTATGAGTCCAATGATTGCTTCCCAGTAGGACAAGGGCAATTTGGGCTTAAGCTTAGGTCTAAAGTGTATATTGAGTTTAGGTTAAGTAGGTATTCTATATACAAGAAACTGGAAAATGGTTATGCCAAAGAAATGAATGCAGTATGAATGGAAGGCGATGGAAAGTCCGCTCAAGGATAGCGTGACAAATGTGTGTACGTGTGTTTACTATCCTCCTTTGTCAAACACTTTTTAGGAGATTTTTTATTTGTAACCTATTCCTTGGACATCAGTTTCATCAAAACATTAAACTTTACTGAAACATTTAATCTCCTATTGGATAAATAAAGCATTCTTTTTTTTTTTTATCAAAGTAGATTTGACATGTAAATAAAACTTCTAATAAACAATTCATTTTTTCATGTAATCAAAATAAAGTCTAAGCCTCCAGGACTGATTTTGGCCTTTGATCAAGCATATATTTAAACATAATACAAATTTTTCTTTGTCTTTTTGTATATAGGCTCCACTGCTCCTATAAACCTTTTTGAGGGGGAAAAAGAACATACGGTTCCCTCTGCAGCTGCTGTTCTGTGGGACAGCAACCTTTTTGAGATGGCTGATCGTATGATAGATCATTCTTTTTTGCACAGTGGTTTTAGCTTGACTGGACTCAGTTTGCCTGTAGTGATTCTGTTGACTGGTGGAAGCTTTGATACTGCGGCATCGTCCTTGACCTTGGAGGACTGTCCTTATAATGACATTTGTGAAACAATAGGTTAGCCGAGTAACCTGGTGAGAAATTTCACATTGGTATGAATTACAAAATTTTTTGTCATGGCACATTAAGCTTAAGATCAGGTGTCATGTGTGTTGATTCCCTAAGCTTTTGAGTCGTTTTTTTCTTCCCAAATTAGTGAGTTCTTTTTTAATATGGATTTCCTGGTGACAACTACTTACCGGTATGTGATTGTTAAATTCTTTCATCTTTTTTGTAAATGTGTTGCGGCTGTTCCAGGAGCTCCTTTGAAATGCAGTCATTATTTGATAAATTATCTTGTTTGCATTTGTATTAGAAGTTGTGCTTTTATGTTAAATCTGTGCTTATGCTCTAGTTCCTATTAAATAATGCACTTGTTTACTTTTATAGCATCAACTCTATTTGCAAGTGCTTCACCGTGTTAAGCAGCCAATTAAACAAAGTAGGGTCTAAAAGAAACAGGAGTCTGGAAAACTATTTCAGATATAGCCACATGTCTAGTGAGGTGCTTTACTCAGAGGTAAAAAAAAATGAATTAGAACCATTAAGAACACAACAATGAAAGATTTAACAAAAAGTTAAAACCCTCACTTTAAATGTTATATCAATTATTTTTTGTAGACTGTTATACAAAGCATTGCCTGGCCACAACCTAACAGTGATAACGATGAGGTGGATTCTGTACCATTGAAGAAAATCACCCTCATCACTGTTTTTTTGTTGTTGTTGAAAA